AAAGAGTGTGGAAAAAACCTCAACAGAAGAACTCACAGAAAGTTGAAGTAAAATGCCCAGTTCCTATTATATAAAAATATATGGGCAAAGGTAATTCAAATAAGGTATTGTTCACCTTTTTGTTGGAGGAATTGACTGCTCTTAAAGAGTTCTTTAACATATTGCTTTGGGGAATTAAGACAAAGTTAGTGATGAATATAACTTTCTATTAAGCAATTTTCTTTCTCAGTTGTGCACAACCACTTATGAGCCAGAACATAACAGCTCAATCAAACCTTATTATATCAGCTTTACTTGAACCCCTCTGAAACATACTGAGAAAATTCTGATATTACTACAAGACTTAGGGGGAAAAAAACCCCACAACCCAGAAAGAAGAAAATGGATATCACAGCTACCTTTTTACATTCTCTTAATTTCTTCTGCCATATAGAGCGAGCAATAGGAATGTGCTTGCTGTCAGTTACATAGCAGCTGGCTGTGATGACGTGGTGGAGTGCAGTCTTCTGGCTCATAGCTTGAAGAACTCGCTCAACATGACGGAGGGAAACTATGGCCTCAGTCCATATGCCACCACTAACAAGCTGCATCGTACAAGGTACTAGAGCAATCTGTCCAGCACAGTAGAGAACATCTCCAACCTAGAAGAAATAAAAATAAGTAAATAAGATTCTGGGAGTTACAGAAGGCAAGGGAAGCACTTTTTCTCTTTTCCAGGCAGTTTCTTCCAACAGTACTGTTCTTTGCCATCATTTATCACAAATGGAACAAACAGGCCAGTCTAAACATAATTTTTGATAGGGATATAACTACAACATAGAAACCCAGCACTGCAATAAACTTTAACCTAACAGTTAATACATGGGTGTATATGTCAGCTCAAAACAATAATATCTGATGTTACTGACTGTTACAGCTGCTGGATCACACTGATGCCCAAACATGGTTAAATATGTTCTTTTCTTTTTTTGAGTGATGATGCACACTGTCTTTGGTTCAGTGCTGGACTTTTTAAACTTCTAAGTCTTAAGTTGAGCTTTGTTTTATGTAAGTATATATAAGAAAGTATAAGTATATATTTGTAATGCCTTTAGTAAACTAATTTAAAAATACTATAAAAATAATACTGCTAAACAGCTAAAAGACTGTGTATGAAAAAAGTCATGATAATCCACCAGAAGGTAAAAGGAAATCGGAGATTGAAAGAAAGATGTGGAAGAATGTCACTTGACCAAAGATTTGGGTTCACCTTTTGAAAATGGAATTAAATGGGTGGCCAGATATAATATCAATACACGTTTTAAGCTGAGCTGCAATGCAGTTACTTTGTGCCGATTTTCCAAAGTCTTCCTGGCAACGCTCTGAAGACCTACTTTTTTAACAGCAGCCAGCAACGGAAACATTTATTCTTACTATTCAGACATCTCAAAGATTTATTATAAAATCTTAATGTCAAAACTTTTCATCCTCTTATGCTGCACTTCTCTAGAAAGTCTGTACATTTCCTGATCAGTGAAGCAGTAAATTTTATTCAATATCAAAAGAGAGCTAAGTATAGAAGTGGCAAGTAAGGTGGGCATAAGCAGCTTTGAAGTCAGCACAAGAAGCATTTTGCTAGGAGTAAAGAGAGGGGAAAAAAGACTGTGCAAGGAATCTTTAGGAAGAATTTTGCAGAACTTACTGTATAAACTGTAAAAATTCCTCAGAATTAAGAATAACTAAAAAAGAAATCTGTGTCCTAGAAGACATGGCAATCAAACCATGTGACAGACCCATATGCAACTCCAAATCTGTCCTCATAACTGTCTGTGTCTCACAAAAGACTCACACATGTAACTATTGGAAGAGTATCTTATACAATTTGGCATACAAGTTCTATGATTAGCAGCTGAAGAGGGGGAGGAGGCAGAGAGGAAACAGATCAACTGACACCCATCAACTATTTAAATTGTTTAAAATATCTGGAATATTGTTTTGATAATGCTATATATAATCCTGAATTTGGAAAAAAAAAAATGCAAGTAATATTTTGGTTTATAGGAACAAATGGTCTTTTTTTTTTTTTTACAGTGCTATATTAAAATATGTGCCATTGAACAAGGGAGTCCAGCCAGCTACCAAGTGGCATACTGACAAGATGAGAAACAAATTCAGGAAGATGTAATTCAGAGGGGCACAGGTTTGCTTTTAAAGCAAGTCATTCATTTTCACCTCTGCAAAGTGAAATCCATGCATTAGTCAAAAACTCCAATACAGGTAGTTTATACTTCTACAGAAAAAAACCACACTGGCAATATTTCCTCCTTTTTTTCCTGTTGGGCTGCTGGTTTTCCATGCATCACCCATGTTAATTATTAGGTAGAGAGAAGAGCTGTTCAACCAGTTCACTTCCCCTATTCTTGAACAGATTGTTTGAGACATAATATGAATACTAATTAACGATAAAATATCTGTCAGTGTTTTGAAATACAAACCAAGACAGCACTTTCTTAAAGTATCCTGGATAGTTCTGATACAATTAGCCCCACTGGTCATAAGCAAGGTCAAAAAAAATCTCTGAAGGATTTGAGCAAATTTGGCACCACTTTTGGCTCAGATTCAGTGGGGATTTTGCAGAGGTCTTTAAAAAACTATTTAAAAAATCCCTCTGTTCCTAACATACTTGTTTGTATCTTAAGACATAATTAATAGAAAAACAGTGATCCTAACATGCCACCATGTTATGGAAGGGTGGATGCAAGGGGGAAAGAGGGGAAAAGGGTCAAAACACGGCCACAGGTTTGCAGCAACTGTATTTCAGGGGGACATAATTTAGGATAAGGGAAGGAGGAGGGATGTTCCTCTTCTCTTTCCCAGTGACTTGGTCATGAAAAGCAAGCATAAATAAACAATCAGCAGGGGCAAAGCAGCAAGCCAGTACAAACACTGTTTTAGCAGATTTCAAGAGGTTGTCTCTAGAATGTTTGAAGCATTATACAGAAATTTGTTAGTAGAGTAAGAAGCATTTAAAACAGGGAAGACATCATAATATCTTGTTCACAGTACTGAAATCTTACAACGGGAGATGTCACAATGTATGGTGTCAGTCCTTGTGTTGTGAAAGTGTTCTGCAAAACCCCGCTAGAACCTTGCAACAGTTTATCTTTTTGGAGCATCTACAAGGATAACAGAAGATCTTTCAGGCTATAGCTTCACAGCGTATCAAGTCTAGAGGACTCGCATATCCAGTAAACTCAGCACGGAAACAAAACTACAGTATAATGAATGTGTATTTATACACTAGATGTCTCAGCTTACACTGATGATTTAATTTTCACTGCAGCCCATACAGATATTTCCAGCACTAAAATTTCATTAAAGATTTGACAAACCAAAAACAAAAAAACTTGTACTGCTGAGATGCTCACTTGTACCAATTTATTTCCAATACAGCTCCACAGCAGTAAGCAGTTTATAAATGGGGCCTCACGCGATTCCGCATTTCTTCCCTTTTTATTTTCATTTGTATCACTGCAAGTGAAATGAAAGGTGAGTCTTAATAAGGTAACATAATAGTTTAGCAGCTGTTTTGCTCAGTTAGCACAACCGTAAATAATCAAGGGAATTCAGTGGACAATCAGAACCTTAGAGTATGCAATCCATACTCTAACAGATAGGAATACTAAGCTCTTATTTGAGAATTACTACTTTTCATAGTGTAGCTGTGGTGCAGGAATTAAGTATAATATAGAGCTAGATCACAGCTAATACAGAGGGAAGACAGTATAGTAGCAAATTACTATTTTATTTCACCTTTTTTTTTAAAGCTGCATTCACTTTTTAGGAAAGCAGAAGGAAAGCATCTACGGTACATGGAAAGGAAAAGTCAGAAGAATGCCTGGTGCCACTTTGAGCTGTTCTATCTCACAAAAAAGTTTTTAACAGTATTACAAGTTACCAAACGGACACAACGTTATCTCCCACCAAATGTAATTCAGGAAAAGAAACAATGAGAAAAACAGACAAAAGGACTAACTTAAGCTGCTAATTAGCAAGAGAAAGCTGTAATTATTGCTATTTAGGCAGAAACAGAAGTAATAGGATACTTACAGATACGCAGTGAGTTGTTTTTTTTTAATTAAAGGCCAACAGCAACTATGGAAACTTTATGAAAGTTTTCCTGCTGGTATTATTCAAACTTGCTAGTGATTAACTGGCATAATACAAAAATTGCAGGGAACTGCTAATGGAGACATTTCAACCATTCACCCGCAGGTATTTAGGCCAACGTTAATAGTTGCACCATATGAGCAAACGCGTGTTTCTTGGAAAGGATGGAGTCAATACGCAATCAGGGAAATCTTTGTTATGAATGCAGTTTGGTGTCTGAGTGACTGCTGCCCTTTAGCAGGTCAGGGTACACAAAAGATTCAGTGACCCCCTGACCTAACAGTGAAATAACCCCCCATTACGTTCAGTCAATGTAAATAAGCATAACTGACAACGCGCTAATAGGCTGCCTCTGGTCAGCCATGTGTACCTCTGACCTTAATGAAGACCTAAATCAATTAATACTCCAGGCAATAAAGACCTCTGGCTGATTAAGTTAGATAGAAATCATCTTTTCTAACGGGATTAAAGCTGTAAGGTGGTGAACTTTTTATTTAATATATGATAATCCTTTCTTCCTAGGGCCCTCTTATTTTAGCTAATGACAGTAAAATTGCTTTTTGCAATGTGAAATCTTTTATTCAACTACCTAGTGTGAATAAAGTTTTAAAGGTACCGTTTAGACAACAGTAATTGAAAAGCTTTGAGTTCACATTATGAACACAAATTGTATCTGACTAATGTGGTTTTAATACACCACAACCTTCAATATAATCCACACATTTTTCTTGAACTGTTACAAATCTGTAGTCTAAAAATTCCATAAATTAGTTGATCACACATAGTTTAGTTTGATACAGGCTTTCTTTTGAGAAAATATGTACAGTTATCAGTAGCTAACATATGAAGGATATATTCCTAAATGAAATTTTTTTTAAAAAGTTATGATTAACTTTCACAAAAAAAAATTGACACTTATAAGTATCCATGTATAACTTTGTAAAACGCTTGCATATCATATGCAAAACTTCAGAACGTCCCTTTAAATAAAATATTATTTTTTCCTAGTTAGGTCAAAAAAGTAGAATTAATCAGTAGCGTATTATTGCTATCTCATTGAAATATCTGTAACATTTCCCCAATTTTCAGAGATTTATAACTCAGTTTTCAAATGCTGTGACTCCAGTTTCCTCATCCTAATTTTGGGATGGAGCTTCGTATGTTTCACAATGTAGTTGATCGCGTACAAGACTACAAAACACTCATCTTTTTGCATTGTTCTTCACTATTCAAGTTTATGTTATCAAATGTGATTTAATTTTTTCTCTTTGAACTTTTGTTCATTGTATATTTGTGGGTTGAAAATTCACAGGACATTTTTTATCAAGAACTGAAATAAAATACTGTGATTTCATGGATGCTAAACTAGGCTGTATAATTTTTTTTTTATCTGCAGTTTAGCAAAATTAAGATATACCATCCCACAAAGTCATATTTGACACTGAGCACAGTGTCATAACACTATCAACACACCTCAAAATTTTGTGCATTTCCTAATT